AAAAAGATTGGTATAAGACCGGTCCTATGACCGGACCAATGGTCTTTCGGTCTGGATCGGATCGTTCCCATCCCTACTTGTTACACTTGCATTGCTTGAAACATTTTTTTTTTTTTTTTTTTGTTACATTGCATAAAATTTAATATGATCATGAATTCACATGTGTCTTTCACAAGTTTTGATATCACACACAAAAAAACCATCACTATACATATTTAAATTTTTTTTTTTTTCTTCAAATATCAATTTATATTTATTGAGAAATTCCCACGTTCCGTCAGGATATTTTAAGTTATATAAGTATTCCCGTTTTTTTTTTTTTTTTTTTTTTTTATGAAAAAAAAAAAAGAAAATTTAAATTTCAATACTGATAACGAAAAATGTCTACTATGTCTATGTCTTCAGTAAACCCTTCCTCCCTTAAACCAAATTCTTTCAATGAAGCAGGTATGTCAAGTGATAACGTTAAACTGAATTATAACTTAACCAATTAATCTTTCGGCACTTGTTCTTTTTCAGAAAATATTCGCGATCCACTTGAATTTCGAAAGAAAAAGGATCAAAATATAAGGAGGACACTAGGTTCCAATTTAACTTCAATTGATAGATTTACGGGTGCAAGTTCCGGAAAGGGTCCAATATACTATTTGGTGCGTCCAAAAGAGTTACGAGATGATCATCCTGTATGGCATTATTTCTACTTGTGTACTTTGATATTTGCGGCATTCGTGGCGTTATTCGTTGGACCTGTTATGTTTGGAATGTTAGCAGCAATTGGGGGCATTGGAACTCCATTTATTTTATCAATTATGGGAAGTGGAATTGGAATATTACTAGGGTTGTTATTTGGTGTTATTTTTGGTGTTGTTTGTATTGTTGCCTTGGTTCGAGTTGTTGGTTTGGCAGCTGAACGGGTTTTGGATATTCTTTCGTTTGGTGGGAATGATTTATGGGGTATGACGAAACAACAAATCTTGTTGCTGATAACAGATTCCCAAGAAAATCATTAAATTTTCCCCGCAATTAAAATTTTCTCCTTTATATATATATAGATGTAAAATTTTGTCCTAAATATTTAAATATATATATATATATTTTTTTTTGTAATTCACGTAATTAATATATATATATACATATATATATTTTTTTTTTATTATAATTTGGACATGTTCAAAATGAAATAAAGCCCCACTTATTTTGATTTATAAAAAGAAGTCCCGACAAAAAAAAACTAACTCCCGTAATCTTTCTTTACATGAAATGTTAAAAGTCTTTCGGATTTACCTTTGGCGGGATACAATTCTTTTTTGCAATAAATGAAAGTGTTAAATTCCTCACTTTTAGTTTGAATTGTTGCAATTACAAATTTTAACGTTATCCGTAAAATTCTTTAAACTATACGCTTCCCAAGTATTCTGGGACTTTGACATCTTTTTGTTATGAACATCCTAATTGTCACTCTGCGTTTGACCTCATATATGTCTCCTGATCGACATGAAAATACTTCTGCTTTAAACATTTTTTTGCTTAGGTTAATGATCCTCTAAAATAATGATTTTAAAATCAATGAAGCTAATGATAATAATGCATAGCATTAATTAATTGTTTCCGTCCAGGTCGATTCGGTTTTGTTCAAATTCAAATAAACTTATTCGCGTTTTTGATTTTATTTTTTTTTTTACTAATATAAAGACTTTTCAAGCAAATATTACATCACAATTAAAAATTATGATACATAATAATTTAATATTGAGTTAAGATAAAATGATTCTTTTACTTGTTCAGGAATATTTTTTCAGTTCTACCTAGACTATCTATCTACAAACAAAGTAATGTAAATTTAATTTTATTTTAAATAGCTGAATTAAAATATATATATATATCTTTTATACTTCTAAATTAAATAAAGTAAATATCAACAATAATTATATTTTTGCTAAAAGTTTTACTCTTTATTAATAATTTCTATTAAAAAAAAAGTTTAGCTAATATCATAAAGATTTATTATTAATAATAAAAGGAATTATCAAAAAACAAAAGAAAATATTAAAAATGATTTATAAAATTAGAGCTTTAAATTTGATCTAACAGGTTGATCTGAAAAGTTTAAGTCAGTTAGATAGGGTATCTGACCAAAATTTTTTAATTAAAAATTCAAAATTTAATAATTCTATCAATATTAATCTGTTTAAATAAAATAACTACCATTTGAATCCTTTTATAAAGACGAATTAAATGAGCAATATTTTATTATTTTGAATTACTAATTGCTGTGATATAGTTTGTTTAATTTTACTATAAAAAATTTTAGAACACATATTATAAATTATATATAGAGCTCTAAACAGATCAATTCAAGTCAGGTCAATCAAGTTAAGAGAGCCACAGATATTATGTAATATATTTTTATTAGACATAAACCCCCCTCTTACCTATATAAGATATCTAATTTTAACCAATCAAATAAAGCATATATATATCAGATGACCGAAAGCAAAAACTTATGAATTCATAATGCAAATCCGTCAAGTAAATAGTACTAATACTTTTATAGAATAGTGAAACAT